ACAGGTTGCCCAGAGAGGTAGTGGAGTCTCCTTCGCTTGAGAGATTCAAAACCCGTCTGGATGTGATCCTGGGCAATATGCTCTAGAGGACCCTGCTTGAGCAGGGAGGTTGGACTAGATGATCTCCAGAGGTCCCTTCCAACCTAAACCATTCTGTGATTCTGTTTTGCTGTTCCCTGGGCAGCACGTTTCCCTGGGCAACTCTTGGGAATAGAGTTGGATAAGCAATCCCGATAGGATCATAGGATAATTCGGGTTGGAAGGGACCTCAGAGATCTCTCAGGGCTTTACCCAGTCTTCAGTCTTTCTTTCATTCATAAGAACAAGGATACCTACAAGCACATCTAGCCCATGCATGCAAAAACAGTCTTGGAGCTAGCATAGTAGAAGCAAACCCCAGTATGAGAGCAGTGCAGATAAATCTCAGCGGGGTCCACGTAACCCTGCTTCATCTACCGTTCCCTGACCTCTAATCTCTGTAGATGTCCCAGCGGAGAGCTATATTATAAGACTCAGATTTCCAGTGAAGGCAGAATTTGATTCTGACAAATGACAACAGTGTTGCTGTCCAGTTGCTTTTGGTCAACTAATATGATTTTTTGCTTCTCCTTCAGAATATGTTTCGTCAGCAACAAAAAGTTTTTCAACAGGCAAGAATAGTGCAAAGTCAGAGACTGAAGACCATTAAGCAGCTGTATGAGCAGTTCTTAAAGGTAAAGTACACTTCTTAGAAGGCAGCTGATCTTTATCACATCAATTTTTAAAACTGTATTAATTTAGCCTTTATAAAATACAGAGATGTAAGGGCCATTTAAGGAAAACAACAGCCTTGCATGAATCTTCATGTTATGTTGTTAGTATCAATCTCTTTTTTTTTTGTTCAGAACGTGGTTTCTTCTCTCTAGCCCTCCATATACTTTGCCTCTATTTAATAAAAGATGTGGTTGAATGTGTTCTCACAGGCATCTGATTGGCTCACCTGTTTCAAATATTTAACCTTAGCCCTCAGAGCATACTTTCTAAACAGAACTCAGTTTTGTGCTAGTTTAAAGGTTAGGCATTTGTCAAATCAACAGGATTTTGTCTCGTCTCTTAGATTTTTGGTAAGAAAACTGATGTCTACAAAGGCGAAATTTCACTACTTAAAAAAGCAGCACTGGTTAGAAAGGGTTTTCCTTTCTGTAACCTAATATTAAAGGTTAACGTTCACTAAGATACCAACAAGAAGTATTTGACAGAAATAACAATTTATGGTGAAAAGAGGATGGTTCTTCAGCTGGATAGCTATAGAATCGGTTCTGTTTAACTTTCCTGTTGCTTCATGTGTAATTCTTGTTTTTGCTGGCACTCCCTACAAATACTGGTTTTTTGGATGGTGCATACAGAACGTGTTATATTTTAAACATATGATTCACAGTTAAGCATTAACTGGCCCACTAAATATGAGGTAGTTGTTAACCTTAAAACATATACATTTTTCTTACTTCCTCATCCGCCGTTTTAGTATATGAAAATCTTCAAATATGGGTGAAATAAGTATACTGAATAAAGGCTTTCCTGATCAAATCTGACAACTTTGTTTCTTCTTAATCAAGTATTAATGTAGATTTAAAAAGTAAAAGCCTAAGCCCACACTGCTTGTCTTTTGAATTTTCTGTGGCAAGCAACATCTCTGTTATGTTGACTACAAATTAAAATATTTTATTTTTTCCTATTATTATCAAACTTGACAGCTAACATATTATACAAGAAAGAGTGACTTGAGTACTACTAGTCAATAATTTGATTTCTTTTATCTAAAAATGTAAGTCTTTTCTGTCATTTTAAATTAAGAAGAAAACACTTGATTCCTCAGTTCCCTTCCCCTGCTATTTCTATTTGAGTTATGAGAACTCTAATAGAAAGAAAAATTACAATACTTTAGATATTTGGTTTTGTAGTGAGTGCAGAGGCAGAGTAGGTTCAAGTCTTAAGTTTCTGAAAAGCTTTAATTTCTATTTGAGTCATTTCCCCACTATCTCCCTTTTTCATGAAATTTCAGTTAGCTCCGAGGTCTCTTTTTTTTTTTTTTTTTTTTCCAATCAATCAGGCAGCTTTGAAAAGTAAATCCAAAATAGAGCAACTTTTAGTTTTAGAAGTTGAAATTAACAGAGGATGTTACAGAAATGTGAAAATAAATAATAATTGTTTTACAATGTCTTCATCAAAGATGCGAAATCAAAGAGAATTTCCAGTAGTGCTATAATTTTTTTTCCTCTGAGAACATCAAAATGTAGCACTCAAGCCTTAAATAAACTTAACTTTAAATACAAGTCAAGAAAAACATGACTACACACATGCATAAAGTTAGACATAACATTACGTATGAAAGAAAGGATAGCCAGTGAGCTTTACCTTTGCCTGTTTGAGGAGTAGTATGCAAAGGGGAGGAGATTTAACCTTTTTTTTTTTATATTCTTTAGTTGTAGCCTCCAAGTTTGTCATTATATTAAACTGTACATCTATCATTTCTGATAGATGTCTGTCTAAGCTTTTTTTGAAGTGCAGGATACTAACTGAGGCCTCACAAATGCTGAGTGGAGATTTTTTCCTTCACAGCATCTATATTGTTTAAACAGGAATGTAGATTGGAATCTAGAGTCCTGTACAGTTTGTGTTTCAAGTGCTTGACAAAATTTATTTGTAATTGAGTCACCAGTGCTGCTATAAAAATTGTAGACTGAATAAAGGATAGGTGGTGGTGGTTGTTTTTTAACTGAAACTCCTCAATGTCAAAGTGTTAAATTAAGTTTTTCCGTAACTTCAGAGCATGGAGGAGCTGGAGAAAAACAATGAAAGTCTTCTAGCTGGTGCACAAAGTGAACTTCGCAAAGAAATGGCTATGTTGCAGAAGAAGATTATGATGGACACTGTAAGTATTGCATTTATAAAAAGTCAGTTAAATGCAAAAATAGAGCATTCTATAAAAAAAAGTCATTTGATATTCATTTAATTAGCTCAGGGAATCAGATTTGGTATGGCATTTGTTCAGTATTATCTCCTTTTCTTGTAACAGCAACAGCAGGAGATGGCAACTGTTCGCAAGTCTCTTCAGTCCATGTTATTCTGATGGCTCAATGGAGAAACAACTTTTACCTAAGTAACATGATACAAGTATAGGCATTAGCCATAGAGAAGTACGTTAAGATTTCAGTGTTGTAAGTTCCTATTAAATGGTTTCATGGATTGTTCTAATCTCATGTCTGATAATGTTGTAAGAAGGTATATTGGTAAGTTCATTATGGGGGGGGGAGGGGAGGGCGAACGCGAAACCACTTACTATTTGGCCAATTAATCTTTAACTACTTTTTACTCACTTTCATTAGCATTGGACTGCTTGAATTACTTCAATTCTTATAATGCCAAATTGTGAACCACAGGCAAAATTAATGAAAAATACATTACATAGATTTCGCACAACAATTTTAGTCTTTTAGGTACATTGTGCAAATAGAAGTATTTTTCCAAAGCTACAGAATTTTAAGACTGTCACAGTTTCAACACTTAGCCTGACCTATCAGCAGTTATAAAAGGTAATGAAGTATGACATAGCTTGTGTGAGATTGTTAACTAATGTATATTGTGGTAAATTAAGGTAAACTTTTAGTCTTTTGCTGTGCAATGCCTTGTAATATTTTATTACCAGTAGGAGACTAAGAACTGCTGTAACTTTTCCAGAAGGAAAGATTTCATTAATTGCATTAGGAATTAGTATCATGGCTTTATAATGACATCTGCTTAAATAAGCACAATTAAACACTACTATATGCATTTTAGGGTATATAGTGCTTGCAGACCCCTGCTGAAGTAACCTAGCTTATATAGCTGGTACAAGCTATTACAGCCCTTAAAATGGAATATTAATTTTTGCAGTTTCAAATGACTAGCAGTTTAGGGAAGCTTAGGTTTTAAGGAGAAATGCTTTATCTTTCATGTATCACATTACAGTAAGTTGATAACATTTAAACAACCAGCTTAGTGTGCCTGCAGTTTGTTTCTACAGAAAGCCTGTAGGTTGAAATATTAGGTAGTACCTGAAATATTTGCTGCTTGGGTTCAATACACTACAATGCAAAACCCACACAGGCATTCCCCACGCCACCCAATGTGATGTTTTCTTAACAATGCATTTCAAAACCAGTCCATACAGATTCTCTCCCCCACCTCTTACTAGCATTTATATTTTGGAATCAAGTCATCTGCTGACAGCTCCCCAGTTTAGAAAGACAGATTAATGATAGCTAACTTGCAACAACTGAGAAAATGTATTTCTAGAATACTGTCTGAGAAAGTAAGAGCATGTGGTGGGTAATCAGGTAACTACACTGATCTGTAATTGTGGTACTCAGTCTCTGATGAGGATATGTGATGATACTACGAAATACAGTCAAAAATTTTAGCTTGATATCTTTACTATGAGGGTATTTTAGTATTGCCTATTTCTAGTTTTCTGACTGACTCATCCTTAGTTTTCTATCATCCAGATAACTCAGCTGTATCTTTTAAACTACTTATACCTACTACTGCTACCTGTCCCCTGTTTCTCCTGCAGCACCCTGGGGAACCAAATCTTCTCACATTAGAGAGTTGCCTACCTCTTCTCCTACTCTTTACTATTTTCCCTTCTGTTTGTCAGGGTGTAGGCCTGGGTGTTGGCCAAGTCCATTTGTAGATGCTCTGTCTTTCCCAGCTTTGAAGAGGGACTACTTGCACTTATTTGGAAAGGGGAATGAACTCCTAGTCTGTATTATTCACTTGAAATGCTATTCCTTCAGCTAATTTGATAGAATTAGCCCTCAAGGGTATGAATATAACCTTCTTATGCAGGAACATGGTAGGTAGATAGCAACTATAGATGCTATTCCCCTCACCGTGCCCCCAAATTTAGCAGAACATACACCAGTCTGGAAGGTCCCTGAACATCTCCAGCAGCTTCTTTTGCCTTTTTTTTTTTTTTTAATTAATGGGCAGCAGCTATGCAGCTGTTAATGGTAATTGTTTTTAAAAACAAACTATAGCAGTCTTTATTGTACAGTTCAAGAAGGATTTTATGAATTCACATCTCGGCTACAAAGTACCAACTGGAAGTGATAGTGAACACTTACATTCAACAGTTTTTTTTATAGAAACCATATTAAATACCGTTTTTTTAAAAGGATCTTAAGCCTTTAGGGCATGTCTCTTTGCAGTTCATGCTTTGCTGGTACAGATGGCTACTTTTAATAATAAGCTACTTTTATTCAGCTTTTCTCTAATGACAACAGCAACGAGTAGAACCTGAAGAACAACCCTTAAGCTAGGCCCATTTTGTTATCTGATGGCTCTGCTCTTAAGGGGCTGATACTGGGGCCTGACTTACTTACTCTTTTAGACAATTTCTATACATAAGGTTTTAATTCCTTGAAGTTTTGTCTGGAGAAAGTACAGCTGTACTCAAATTACACATCTAAACTAACATAGTGATAGCAAACAGACTTCAGAGGGAATTAAATATGAGTGGCTTGTATTGTCACAGTTAAACAGTCACAGTCATGTAAGTTTATCGAACAACTTAGTCATTCACTTGTGCAGCTTCACAGATACAAGTTAGGGTAGATAAAGCTAATGTCCTCAAAGTACCCAACCACCTACAGTGTAGCTAATGATGTAGTACAATGAGGCAAATAACTTATTATAACTGCAAACTAGAAACTGACCTTGAAAAAAAAAAATGCAAGCTACAATTGTATTTAGTAACAGTAGGATATATTCTTAGATACTAGAGAATGAATACTAAAGGCATTCGTAACAGTATTTTGAAACAGAGGAAAGTTTTCCTGATCTGTTTCCTTCACCCTAATGATTCAGTACCTTTTTCTTTAGAAATATCAGGACCAGCATTAACTACTAGTTTCACCTCATGGATGCCTCATGCTACCAGTCTTAATAATGCAGTATTGATTTTATCAATACCTCTGATTATCACTTCACAGCAGTTCTAAGAAGACTTGAGAAACTAATGCTAGGAGAACATTAGTTACTTGGTCTATAGAAAAGTGAAACTCCTCTTAGAATTCCGATTGGCAGCACTTTGGGTTGCAGTCTACATGCACCAGAACAAAAGCACAGAATTCAAGTTATCTAACAGGAGAGGGCAAGTTTTGAACATTGGTATTCATGATATTAAGTAACAGCTGCGGTGTCTAGAACTCAGGGGAAATGCATCCTGGCTCAAAGTATTAATCACAATAAAATCTACAGGACTTTGTATATAGTAATTATCACATCTGGTAGTAATCTAGGACAGTGAGCTTTCTCATAGACTATTTCCTTGAAAAGCTTAATCTGTCTTCCCAAAAAAGAGAGGCTGCTTCATTCAACATTCCCCTAACTGCTTCTCCTCTTCTCCTTGATATATTTAATCAGTCATTATGGTTTTGAACCTGTTCAGGAGCTTGATGAGATGAAATTCTGAAGACATGTATATGAAGATGAGCAGCAATCTGTAGGCATACACCAGTGGCATATCTCAGCATATCAAACAAGGATATGAACTTGGAAAAGAACAAGACAGAACAAGTTAAAAGCAGAAATATCTTTCAAGATCGTCCCTACTAGAAATTCAGCTATACTTTACTCAGAATCTATCCAAGGTGACAAGTTTTATAGGCATTTTAAGAGTTCGATACAGATTGATCTAGTTTGTCTGGGAAAAAACAAACAAAAAACCCCCCACAAGCCCCCACAAACCAGTACTGAGCCCTAACACAAGACTGAAGACCAATAAACAAAGTTTAATCTGCATTTAGCAGAATAACTTTGAGCAAATCACCTGAACTGAAGCATTATTACAAGAAAGATCTGTAACGTTATTTTCACATCTCTGTTCCAAGGAAAGAAAGCTAGTCCGTCCCAAAAACATAAGTTTACATTGTATCCTGGCACTCCATCCCCAGTGACAGCTGAAATCAGAGGAAGTCTGAACAGCGGAACAGAATAACAGGGACAATTCTCAATCCATTCCTTTACATTTGTCTTTTCATGTGTAACATATTTAAAACAAAATGCTTACCAATGCTATCCATAGAACAATATATTCATCAACAAAACTGTTGAAGTACTGGTCCAAAAACAGAAGCCCCGGCCCAATAAATGCAGTGTCTTGAAGAGAGATTTCACTTTTTGTCATGTGAGCCACCTATTAAAAAACCAAACCAAACAGAGCATCAGCTGGCTGGATTACTGTTGTTAGCAAATATGTAGTAGGGCAGATTTTTGTAAAGCGCTGACAAGGTTTTTAAATCCAAAAGAGATAAAATTTTATCTATCTTATCTCTCATTTTAATGATAAAATAAATTAATTTTTCAGATAATTAAGCTGGAAGTCACAGCACTGTTGTAAGGCCCTAGCTTGAGGGGCCACAGTTTTGACAGTAAAGACATTATATATATTATATATACAATATATAAAAATATATAATATATACATTATGTTATTCCTCGTAGTGAGCTAAATAAAGCTTTGAAAGTTCTAAACAAGTACATTCAACAATAAAATATATTTGCATCAATGTCAAATATAATCTCTCTATGGAAGCCTAAGTAGTCTAGTTCAGTGTTTTGGTCATTATAAAATTGGCAACATGACAGCAGAGCAGAATGGGAGAACTTTCATAGCACCCACTGACCTAAACAAGCAAATCTTAAACATGGAGTGGGTTCTTAGCTAAGTTTAGAAATGAAACAAAGATTCCTTACCACTAACTTCTGTGAGATCTTAGCATTCACGAATCCAAATGTCAAGACATATAGGCAAGGATGTTTTTCAAACAGCTGTGTTGTAGATTTTTTATAGATCATAATGGCCAGTGTAATAAGTAGTCCAATATTTAGGCCTGGTGAAAGAACACTTGTTCCCTGAAATACAAAGGTACAAATGATTATTCTTAAGTTTGAATCACAACATATTGTCTAGATTTTATACTTACTGCAACTCCCACTCAATAAAGCAACTAGAATTGCTCAAAACTCAGGGAAATTTGTTTAGCGCTATGCTGATGCTATTCATATCCTTTGCAGTGACATCTAATCAATTTTATATAAAAAAAAAAATTCCTTGCTTGTTCCTGTGACAGAAGACATCCAATAATAGGTATAGAGAAGACGACAAGTAATGAAATCTCTGCTTCAGCCAATCAACACTCAAAATATAATGAATAAACAGCACTGAAGTGTGAAATTTGTTTGCTAGCTTGCTTAGATGCTTAAACTGATGAAACTCTTACGGTAATCACAAGTCCCACCTCTTTTGCTAGCAACATAAATTATTCAAACCCCATTCAGATTCTTAAAGCAACTTACTGCTATTGTAGATCCGTTCTTTCCAACTCCACCACCAAAAATGACACGGAAGTAATTGAAAAAAGAAAGCGCTGTTCCAGACAGTATTCCAAAAACTACCAAGAACTTCAGTTCTAAACCTATCAAAGGGACCTTAGCAGAAAAAGCAAGAGGAAGATGTTAAAAGTCAAGGATAATGGCACTTTAAAGCAGCGATTAAAAGGCTGATGATATCTACTAAACAATTGTTTTATCTGACCTATTGCTTTCCTAGGAACAAGCTCAGAAGGACAGTACAGAATTTGTTTCCTTACTAAGGAGACAATGGATTTCTTTTAGAAATTTTAAACTCCACTTTCGAGTATTTAAGGTCTGGTCTTGAAATGCAGCTAGATTTTATCGTATTTGTCCTTACAATGATTTTCAGATTTTTTACTACATAAGCAAAAAGCTTGATACAGACTACTGCATAACCAAGGCACAGGGGGGAGAGAAGGACAGTTCCTCCTACTTCAATGGGTTACACAATACAGAACCACAGGAAACACAAACACCATCTGTCATCTGCTTTGTGTTTTGGTACCTATTGTTCGTATGCTGTATCTTCATATTTAGAACAGTATCCAGATAGAAATTTTAAATAAAGTTACCTTTCAGAATCAATTGCAGTTTCAAGGAAACTTCCAAAGGCAGCAGCAGATTAAAGAAAAAAAGGTAGCAATTGAAACTACTGACTGTATGTTTTTGAATATAGATTGTTTTGAGATACAGCATAACTACCACATATTTTAATACTGACAAAAACAAAACCCCAAACATAATTCACTAGGATTTAAAGTATAATGCACCTAACTTTGTTTTCCAACATGAAAATAAGCTGTTGGAAAACAGAGCAAAAGTGCTTTTCAGGATGGGGGAAGGAAATAATATTTAGATAAACATGTCATAATTGTCAAATAAACTAATGAATTAGTCCAAATTATTGGTGGTTTATATTTAAATTAATTTGCATTGGTTATCAATACCATGGAATGATCTCAGTTTGTGTCCTGTGACCAAACAGAACTATACATTTCTGAGTAAATGGACTAGAAAGGATCAAGAAGTTAGTCTAGTATACTTTTGATCCCTTCTACTTAAGTGTATCTTTAAAAATCAGAATGAAAGCTAGAGATAGGAAATGCTTTTGCACAGAAAATACTTCTTTAAATATAGATATTTACATAGTTAGAAATACGTTTAGAAGCCAGAAGGCTAGAATCATGAATGTTAAAAATCTAGTACATCTCAATTGACATGTAAATACGGTTAACTTAACCACCCCACCCCCAAATAACGCCCTAACTTCATCCCATGTTTTCTTCAGATTAAAGCATTTAATCCTTAAGTTTTGAAATAAAGCACCATGTAAGAAGTCATTTCACTGAGCAGAAATTTGTGTCTTACAATAAAATATACAAAGGGAAAAAACACAAACTATTTGTTAAGGCTTAAGAATGATCAGAACATTAGTGGCAGGTTGGAAGTTTACATATGGCAGATGGGGTCTTTTTTCCTCTATATAGCTCTAAATTCATGCATAGGGAGTCACACCATTTTATCAAAGGGAACTACAGTGTAAATACAACCTACAGTCCATATTGGTACAGTAAGCTATAACAGAAGATTAGGTGACTACTAAACGTTGCTAATACTTGCACAGGATAGCTTCCAATACCATAGGAACTCTGAATACGTAACAGGAGCTGAATACTCAACACGCTTACCTTATAGTCCCATACTGCTGTTCCACCACATGCAGATATTAAAAGGAGCATTGTTATGGCTAGCTGAACCTCAGTTACATCAAGTCTAGGAAGAATAAAAAAAGGGGAGATCTAATTCAAGGAAAAAAATCAGTTTGCTGTGTGCAGGGGAACAAAAAGCAACAGTTACTTTAAGTTACCTCCTCAAGCCATGAAATGCATATGAAATATGATTTTCCTTGACTGAGGAAGATACTCTAAAGGGAGGCATGCATCCTTCGTTAACATTTAAGATTACACCCATGCTCTTGATATACAGCCAGCTACATATAAATTTAATATAGGAGAAAAAGCTTTATTTAATACCTTGTTAACTATTTGATGATTTTAAACAAATTTACAAACTTACTGCTGTGTAAGTATCGAACCAAGTTAGAAAGTTAAGTTCGCAGTAAATGCAACCAAACCTTTCCATTAATAGCATATCATACAACAGTATGAGCCACGAACAGCAGGTTGGGACAAAAGGGATTTTTAAGCCTTATTAATATTAAAATATGACAGATATTGCCTGCAAAAGATAAGGACAATATTTTGAAGATTGAATCAGTGGATAGGTAAGCAACTGTCCTCTGTTTCCTAGGGTATATGACTGATGTGTTACTTTTCCTACAAAACCTTAAAAAATACACAGAGGTGGCCTTGCACTCCCTCTGGAGCCTGGATTCTACCTTTTTTTCAGTTCTTGGACATGGTAGCCACACTCTGTCTCACTGAATTTGATTATTGAAATGTTTTATTTTGAGAAGACCTGAATATGAAATATCTCTGCTCTGGAGAAAGAATCAATACTTTCAATAAAGCTTAAAAAAGAACAACATCTAAGGTATTATGCTACTGAAGATTCTGAGACAAGTACCATGTCTTTGTACTAAAGGTGCGATCCAACCACAACCTTTAAAATATAACACTTCCTTAAGCAGTTAAAATACATTTGCTCTTTTAAGGTACTATAACCAAAGTATACACATATCATTCCTTGCTTATCTGTTTGCACAGGAAACTGTAGTTTTAAAGGGAGTTAGGAACCGACTCTTAGCTAATGGAAAACATTTATCTGATGTGGATGCCCACATTAAACTCTCTTCTTTCATTTGAAAAATAGTGGTAAAATAGGCTAAGTTTTATCACATGCTTCAAACAGTCTTAGAAGAGTCAGTATTTAAGCAGCAACTAGACAATACGACACATTGCTCTTCATTGCTCAAAGCCATTGGAACTGGGCAGCCCTCTCCTTCCGCTGCTCTTCTGCTCACTCGCTTGCATTAGTGGTGGTACTCATATGACTGTAAGGTGAGCCAGTTCAACTTGCTAGCCTAGATTAAATTTTTATTTTCTGCTAAATGAGTTGACTCAAAGTCAAATGACAGAGTCCATGCAGGCAGAAAATGGGAGTGTGCTGCTGGGAGTGGGTTTTCTGCTCTCTTCCAGGGATAGAGCTTTACAGTAGATCAGCTGCTGCTGTAGTTGCACAATAAACATGTCATGCAAAAGCATTCAGATGCCAAGAATTCAAGTGTTTCAGAGTTTGAACTCTGTACTAATAAAAAATAAGATTTCCAAGCTGTACTGCCGTTGTTGTTGGGGGGTTTTTGTTTAAGACAAGAACTTGAAGTTGAATCATTACATGTACCAAAATTCAGTATTTCAACTTTCCACAGAGGCTCAGACAGTTGGTGGCACCACAGTCCATCTTCTGTACCTTTTACTAATTCAGCACAAGTCAACAGGGTCCAAAGATTTTTCTCAGTATTTTACGGTATTCTGTATAACCTGACAGCAGCACAGTACCCAACTGCTCCAGTCCTTGCTGTGATCAGTGCTAGGACTCTCATCCATCATTTGACTCCTAGAAGTCAGAGCTGCTAGCTGAGGAACAGCATCAATGAAAGCTTCCATCCATGTTATATATTATAGTTAGAGCAGTAAACTATTGACTTTGTTTAGACTCTCATCTCCATGCTTAAGAGAAATAAAAAAGGAATAACTTAGAAGATATTTCTAATGTTAACAAAAAAAGCTTAAAACTGCAAGTCTCAAAAAAAAACTGACCTGTTTTCACTAAACAGAAATAAGTTCTTAGAACAGTTGTGTCTATTTAACTTCAAAAAGCAAACATGGAACACATGTGTAAACCCCGACACCTTCCAAACTGTTTGTACTGTGCGCTGTATTTACATAAAATCTACTAAGTTTTTATGAAGAAGTTTTTATGTGGTATGGGAGCCCCTCAGTGCCTTCCTGATAGGAGAAAGTCATTCTCACATTTTATGCATGAACAAAAGGCACGGAAAAGCAATCATTTGTTCAAAATTCCAAAGCTCACAGCATAGTCCATTTCCCTTCATGTAGTCCACTGTCTTAGGCACCGAGATTATTCTTGTTGACCCATCACTCTAAAACATCCATTCTTGTCTGCAAGACAGGATGTCCTTAATAATAATAATTAAAAAGAATAAAGAGGAGGGCTAAGCAGGTAGAACAGTTTTAGTTTGTGCAGCAAAATGCATTATGAGCAAGTAAAGAGAGCTTTTAGCATCACAAAAGAGAGCTTTCTTTTGAGACATGTTATCCAGTATGCATGAATAGCCGATTGCTAGCCTGTATGCCCAGCGATACTCAGACTTGCTAAAGGGCTTGTTACAGGTCAGAGCTAGGTAGTAATAGAAACAGGTGATTCAAAACATGACTAGAATTATCTGAGAAATAGCTTTCATTTATCACCTTTTTTTTTTTTTTGGCCAAGAAAGTCACTGACCTTTCCCCAGTCATCCGGCTGAGAGATTTACAATTGTAAACTGGAGTCATAATCAAGAACTTACTCTTTCTGTCTTCAGAAAACATTACAGAAGTGCAGCTCATTGTTTAAACACAGCAAAAGACCGCAGCTAGACGCACCATGGCTGTGGGAGGGTACAGCATTTCCCATCTTAATAAGAGTTAAATTTAAACAGTTACCTTCTATACAAATGTCAATGACTCCTCCCACTACGGTTTGGGGAGAACAGACTAAATTTCTACCAAGCCATGAATAGCATCACAGGAATCAGTACAACTGTCATCTAATACAAAACCTAAAGGACATCAAAGGCAATATGAGCCAGATTAAAAACAAAGCCCCCAAATAAACCTGGGGTAGTTCAGCGTGCACTAGACACAGCTCTGTGCAGCTTCTTGCTAAAGGATGTTATAGATGCAATGAGTTTGTTCAAAGGAAGATTGAGCATGTTCACGGAGGAGAAATCCATTATCAGGGGAATTTCTCTAAAAAGGCACATGGGTTCAGATTCCCCTGAGCTGAAACCGGTGACTGGGAGACTAGGAAGGGAGGTATAGCAGATGCTTGCTCTGTTCTTACTCCTACATAGAGCACTTGTTTACAGTCCCTGTGGGCAAGACAGAGCTCCAGTCTCAGCCTGCATGGTGCTTGTGTAGGTTATGTGAATAATTCTGCAGACAAAAAAGTCAAATGCATGCAAATGAAGCATATGTAGCCAAAATCAGTTGCTAAAAGAATAAGTCCTGTACATAGGATAATGCAGAGTTTTAAAGTCCTTACCAGGTAGGACACAAGTCTGTTGGGGGCAGGGGGAGGGGGGGGAGAGAGAGAAGGAGGAGGGGACGGAGGAGGAGAGAGCAGGAAAAAAACAGAAGGAAATCAAGTAGCTTGCAGTCTCCAAGATTAAGTCACATGTAGTTCTAAAGATACCTACTTACTTTCCAAACTTTAACATGCCTGATACATATGTCTGCCAGTGAGCAGAATAGAACATGAACAGTCCCACAAAACAACAGAAAAACAACCAGTCTGGATTTGTTCCTAGTCGGATTGCTATGCAGGATCCCAGGACAACAAAAACTGAAAAGTAAAAATGAATATGTTAGTCAAATACCCTCTTTGCTTGCAGTTAAGAGAAATAAAATTACAAGGCATTTTCCATCACTGTAATGAAGTAATTATATTACTGCTCTTTTACTCAGTAGCTAACACCAAAGAGAGTCCCGGCAGGAGAGACCAAAACATTGGACTCCTTTTCTTCCAAGCGAGGGCTCCAGCTTCAAGCTCACTGCGGTCATTCCCTCTTCTCCTGGCCCTGGGACCTTGTGTTCTTTGCTACCAAGGGGCACAGCTCCACCACAGAGGCTGGGCTCAGGTCACCTAGACACTGGCACTTAGCACTTCTCCAGGAACTACGGAGAAGCAGAAAGAACATACCCGCTCCCAGGGCAAATGCTTCAGCCATTAAGCTATTATAGAAACATAAGTATTGCCACCAACAGCAGCTGGGTTTTGAAAAGTAAAACTGAGTGCGTTTTACTTTTCAGGGGCTCCAAACCAATTTTTTTCTTTAAATCACTCTTCGAAGGCACATAAATCATTCTCCTCCTAACTGCCTGGTTGGATGCCCTATTATCAAGCTGATTTTTTGTCACCTGGCTCCTAAAGCAGAACCCTTAACTTCATGTGGAAGTATCAGTCTTCTAGGTACTTGAGTACTTTAGTAGGCATCACCTGTACCCTGCTGCAGAACACATGCTACAGAGAGTAAAAGCCTGCCTAGATATCCTTTACTGATCTTTTTGTTCACAGTTCAGCTCATTTAGAGAGCTCTGTGTTGCTTCATCTAGAAGAGCGAGCAGAGTGCGTGGTACTCAACGTGTGCCAAAACTGCTGTTTGAATATCCTCCCTGATACTGCTCATGTACCTGAAGGTCCTGGCAGCCCAGGCTGCGTTGACCAGGAGATACCCTAAGAGGAGAGAAAAAAGGCAATCTGTTCTAGCTGATGCTGCTCTGAGCAGGGGGTTGGACTAGACGGTCTCCAGAGGTCCCTTCCACCCTCAACTATGCTGTGATTCAGCAGCTCCTCTTGACAACTGGCAACTTCTCTTTAAAACTAGGAGGCATAACAGTAGGTTAAGGCTACCTGTGGAAATAGAGTCGCAACCATGATCAAAGAGCTCTCCTAGAGGAGAACTGCTGTTTGTTCTTCTGGCTTGCTTCCCATCAATGGCATCCAGAGACTGGTAGATAAAAAGTCCTAATGCACCCAGGAGGTATGCCCAAAAAGGTGCCTGAAAGAGATTCATGTAAAGTGTCACTAGGCAGTTCCCAATTTCTTATCCAATAATCTAATTCGTTAAAGGTAAAATATCTTTTATCACAGAATTATACTACCTTGTGCTATTTGGCACATAGTTAATGGACCAAGCAAATTCTGTATGCTACCCTCTAAATAAATTGTAGTAACTTCTATAATGAACTACCCCAGATAAGCTAGTGAAAGAGATCCTTCTTGCATTTTATTTATCAAACTTAGCCCCGATTCTGCATCAAGACTGAGTTATTTTTCCATCTTAACACTGAAGTATTTCTACAATTATTTGTGTTCCTCATGCCGAAGAACGTTACGAGAATAAAATTATTCTTTAAAAAAGAAAATGACAGTAAAGCACTTAAGATTCTCAGCAACGTGATAGATACTTAGACAATTTTCTCAGATTTATAACGTACAGATATAGAAAACTATCATATTTTACTAAAGACTTCAGCTCTGAGGGAAGGAGATTTTTCCAACCTACAAAAATTGACTACGAATGTACTTTGGAAAAGAGTTTGAAGAATTTAAGCTGTTTACTAAATATGAAAGAGCAACTGTCTAGTTAATGTAGCTATAACAGTTGCAAAATAAGCTGTGAGTTATATTAATGCTGGTCTTGAGGTCCCACAGTAGTAACTTTCAAATGCATTAGTTTCATACACAAAGCCAGTATGTCTTTGTCCAGGAAGTAGTTTTTACTAAAAAATTACTTCTTACACTTCTTCCACAAAGTACAGGTCACATTTTTGTCCCAAGTGGATTACAGCTGTGTAACATTAGCCGTTAGAGCTGCTGTTCATGGAGAGAACAAAGGTAGGTATAAATGCTGGAAACAGCTTGCAGGTAAATATGTGAACAGCCAAAGGCAGTCTCAAACCTTAAGTCTTTTCCACTCCCAGGTAGCGGCCTGCGGCTGTGGCTTTACACCTTTGCAATTCCTCTCCTGAATTTCAGACAGGCTATACGATGATGTTTATTTCATAAGTCTAATAAAAGCTATTAAGTATATTTAGACAACAGATCAAATCTCAGTGAGCCTGTGGCTGAGAACACATGTAGAAATCCATGCAACTTGTCCATGCTCACATAAATGCAGTGTCACTATTGGGAAGACTGAAAAATGACAGCTGCAAATCAGTTGTGATACTTCGTAGGAAGGGACAGGAGCTCTTTTAAGGCAGCAGTAAGAATGTAAATGAGGTGAGCTGCTTCCCCAGCCCTTTTGTTTTCTCATCATTATACTCACTGACTTTGTTGGGAAAAAAAGTTATGCCTCAAATTAGATCAAAAACCAGATTCCTCCCAAGAACCACCATACCTAAGGGAGGTTCAGGTATGAGCCTAAAAAACAGTAACAGCTCTTCTGCTGTTATTTAAGACTTTCTCGTGTACTAAAGGCTGGCTGATAGACTATGTTATCATCTAGTTTTGTGTTTTCAATATGGAAACAATATTGTCATCAAGTCTAAGATTTCCTGCTCTCCGTTATTTGGATGATTTTATTAATAAAACATTCTGTCATTTAAAGTCGAATCGTACGCTGCTTTGCCCAGCCTCGAAGCAACAGACATTCAGAGAAGTGGGGATTCCAGTTATAGGTAAGAAGTCTAGATTTGTATGTACATAGAAACCTAGAAGAGTTATCAAGATTCTTCAAAACAGGCAAGGCTATCTCTTCCCTTAGTCCAAGGGAGCAAAGAAAAGCTGCAAGTCTACAGATAATGCTGAAAGCCTTGAGCACATAAAAGAGGACGAGTAAATACTTCCATTCCAATTGATATTTAACATACTGGTGTCCCACAAAAACAAAGAAATTGCACCATGGAAGTCCACCCGAAGTGATTACAGCAATACATGTTTGATGTTTACCAATGGAATTAGTCAAGTTATTTAGGTTTCTTCTCCCCTGTTAGTCAAGTTAAACTGGAATGAATTTGGGGGTGGGGGTGGGGGGGACAGGGAAGGGTTAAACCAGAAAAGAGGGGGTAAATTTTTAACCTTCATTTAGAAAAAGTTTATCTCCCCCTAATGAAGAGGGAAAAGGCAGAGCCTATCAACAGCAGGAAGGGTCTATTGCCACACTTCATTTGTGAACCATGGAGAGCTACGTGGAGGAAGAAAGAGCTCAAGGGCCTTTATGGGCACAAGCTCATTTCAGCACGTTCTGCATGGGGACAGTGGCCACCTGTCAGCCACCATTCTTGCTCTTGATGTTTCCAGAACATATGACTTATCAGCCTTAAGCCAGATATTTCAGGACATAAAATAACAATTAGTACCCTGTTAAAGCCAAGATCAAGATTGTGACATAATCCACATATTAAAGCTACCCCAGTAGCTACAGCGACTTTTTCAGAATAACTTTGTTATACTGCGAATATTCGTCATTCTCAGCCAAACCTGCTCCTGACAGGTTTATGAATGAAGCCTTATGAGCAGAAAGCTAAGAGAAACCAACAGGTTTACTGTAGTACTGTAATAATTTTAGAGGCACTTCCAATTTTATCAGTGATGTCACTCTGAAATGCCAAAAAGGTAACTTGCAATGTTTTGTGAGGTAGAGTTACTGTGACATACTTCTACAGATTATGAAAAGCTAGCTTTAGAGATCTATTCAACTTCTCTTGCCAGTCCCTCAATTTTAGAAAATATTCAGACCACACTTGGCAGTTCTGTCCAGGGCACCATTGGTATTTTGGTTGCATTAAATCCTTTCTTTTTGCAACCATCTACCTGTAACTGGAAATAGATTTTAGCCTGCTTTTTAAAAGTCAGCTGTTTCTGCATATCATTGCCAAAAGTAAACCGCATCCAGCACTAAATATGCTTGCAGCCTTCCTTAACCGCTCTGTATTCCCCCCCAACACAGCGACACACAGATCACCGATTAAGTAAAACGTCAGTGCGTGGGCAGGTTCTAATTTCAGACTGGATCATTTCCATTGAACAACCTGTCAGGAAAAGAAATCTGTTATGTTACATTTTCATCATTAGCTCTAATGCTACTAATTCCTCTGCGCTCTGTGCTGCATACTTTTGAAATGAAATTTCCATGAAATACAGTTCATTTCTAATAAAGACGTAACGTACTTTCGTTACGGCAGTCAGTTTATGGAAGTTACCATAACACCACAGAACGTGATATAACAATTCTTCTTCAAGGTAACGTTATTTAAGTTTACTTTATCTCGAAACAAGCGTGATGTGTTAAATGTAAAAACGAATCAACTTTAAATATCAAACCTCCATTAGTTCTTATGAACATTTTTGACAAAACAATGGCTTCTGTCTGGTTGCAAGTTATAGTATGAGTTTAATCATTAAGTCTACTGACTCGGTTCCATTTGTGTTAGTTGCTGCTGGGACAAGTCAAAGCAACGGTGTCCACTCGGACTCCAAAACGAGAATGCTCTGCTCCTTGACAACCTGGAAAGAGGGGGAGAGTTTTCATCTTCTTCCCAGTGCCTATTAACCGCATGTGTTAACACCTGTAACGGATGCATCTGTATCCCTGCACTTGCGGAGAGGGGAAGATGATCCGTTCAGAATATAGGAACAGGTGTCCAAACTGCTTGAGGGATTAGAAACAGAATTTGGGGCATTTCACCCCTAGGCGCTCAGTTCAAATCTAAGCAAGGTAGTAATAGCCAAAGATAATTGGCTTTATGGTGTTAAATGTGCAGTTGTTAACTGCACATTCAGCAGCTTGAATGATCTCATTTATATTGGTAAAATACAGTTTTCCAAATCCCAAAAAGTGCACAAGGGTTTCCGAAGCTCCTAATAACTCTCTACTATCCACCCTCTCAGAACAGCTACAGCTGCCTTCTCCTACTCCTTCTTCTCACATGTCTGGCTCTCCATCCAGGGATGTCCCCTCCCAACTTCCCACGTTGGACCCAATTGTAAATTAAAGAGGTGGGAGCATTTGAGCACGCTGACATGGCTGACAGACTCAGCAGAAAGGTCATCCGGAGGCTCCCAATAATCATCAGCTCTTCACTGATGAGGTGTTTATTATGTCTGCCCAAAGTTACATCCTGTCTAAGCAAATATATTATTTGGCCAGAGCTAGATGCTGTTCTAATGGAACTAGAGGGGAACACAAATCCTGGAAAAGATGGCTTCTCTGCTTCAATTAAAAAGGATGTATGAGAGATTACACAGCCCTAAAATCCTGCCAAATGCAAGCTTTGCACAGGTTAAGTCATCTACCACTTCAGAGGGTGTCATATCTGCGTTTAGAGATGCCAAAACAACTCGCATATAGTGTTTGACAAGTATGCATGGCATGCCTCTCCTTTAGGAGAAAGTGTAGGTTGAATGGGTGTCCTTATTCTTCTGCTATTGTGAGTCCACACCACAGAAGAGCAGGGGCAGCTGCAAGAGATGAGATACCCTCACAAGATCACTTACCATTTATTTCAAGAAAAGTTCTCAAGTCCAGAGAGTTCAATAGCCCAAGCTTATGCTACATCTAAAGATATGGGCTTATCCATTACTCATCATATTTAGTCATGATCCAATTTCCTCAAATCAGCCACACAGCCCCTGTTTTTTTTCAGAGGCTCCTGAACCTTCACTGTCTTCCCTTATGCCAAACGCCTCTTCTTCCCACTCAGCACTAGAGCACTCCATTCTTCATTTCATGGGTACTGTGTGGATTCTCTCCCATGCCAGTGTTTCACGCCTTTCCCTCTACCAGGTCAGGGACTTAATGCTTTTTCCTTCACACCCTAATTCATACTAACTGCTCCATCCCACCTTCTCTGCTTCCTTATTCTCTCCCCCACAAGGCTCAGCTGTGTACTTGGCATTTACATAGCAGCATGTAAACATCCCATCAGTCTCTTCATTTCTCTTCACTGAAAAAACTAAAGGCAGTCACTCTTTCAGTTTAGTTCTCACTTAAGCTTCTTTTTTTTTTTTTTGAGGCTCTAAGGACTACTGAAGCTAGGCCTCTCCATAAGCAACTACAAAAGCAGCGTGATCAGAGCTTCATTTCCTTCTTCTGAAGAGATGATTTTATTTAGCCAGTTTTCTTCCTAGTGTTGACTCAGGGAAAAAAATTAATATGTTAGTTTTGCCTGAAACAGGAAGGGGTCCAAGAGACTTGTGTGTTAAACCCTAAGGAAGTAACTGCAGCTACTTCAGAGAAGTCAGTTTGCAGTGGAACATTCTTCTTAGCAAAACAAACTGCTCACTACCAAATGGTGGGGATAGAATGAAAATCCTAATCTAATGCATCAAATATGCACTGTTCATACTTTAAGTAAGCAAAACGTTAAATTCCTGAAGATTTTATAATAGGAGGGGGGGGGGGGGGGGAAACCTGCAATCACAGTGAAGTAGACATTGCTACCTGCACATTTCATGTCCTGTAGAGGGTTATGTCCTCCCTATCACCATAGTTGGCGTACCAGTCCCCATATGTTGTTTCTATAGACTTAAGAGTTGCACAATCAGAGAGAAAACTGGAATAAGCATGCTATAAAAATCTGCACACACAGTGCTTGAGGGGTGTGGTCAGCCAGTGACTTAGGCTAAGATAAGAAGGCTTATGTTGACATGTGCATTTACAGAAGACAGGCATGCAACCCATGGTCCTTCTAGACAGGAAGACATTACTACATTTTATTGGAGTCAAAACGTGCAGCGCCAGTCAGTAACAAACTGGCTTTTAGTGGATATTGATCTGAAGAAAAAAAGCAAGAATAGCTTATAAGGAAAGAATTGCTACATAGTAAGAGAACAAGGGAACATTGTATAGTTGTAGGAATTAATTGCATTGCATGGGGGGAAAAGTATCATTAAATCGTGAAGTTCGCTGCAATAGGATAGGATAGACACTGAAAGTATAAAGAGGTTCAACCCAAAGTCAACACGCAAAATCACGATAAGGAGTGTGTGCATGAGGGGAAATAGTTCCCCTCGTTCTTGCTATAATAACCTGAGTAAAACCCACGACTAAGGAAATCACTGTCTTTTGTCAGCTGGAAAGATACACAAGGGAAAGATCTCTTTTCTCATGTTCTTTTCTAAGCATCTGCTAGCAACTGCTCTCAGAGGGAGTCTGAGCCGGGTGGATCTCAGGTCTGACTTAGCATGACTGAGTTTGTATTCGTAAGATTTATGTTTCATCACTTACCAGCTACCAGTCTTTGGTTTTGGACGGCTTCTACAGATATCAAGACTTGAGTGTTTTCAGTACACTACTGTTAAAAAAGGCCAATTTAAGGCTGGTTAGAAAAAAAACACAAACTCTTCAAAAAAAAATCTGCTTAGATAAGTCTTAGATAAGTCTTCTATCCAGTGCTCCCATACTTCCATTGAGGCTATAAGCCTTTGTTAGTCCACAGCATTTGGTAATCATAAATGGACTAGAGGGGTGTGGTGTGGACTAAAGAGGCTTCTAAAGAGCTAGAGGGGTACGATGCTGAAATGCACTACACTGTTGGTTTGGTCCATTATTTAATCAACTTCAACCTCATTTTCAGTTCCACCTTCATCCTACCCCTTCCAGCCTATGTATTCCAAGTCAGAAGTACAAAGTTGATATTACAATAGTACACACAGCACCTATCAGTGTTGCAACACTTTTAGCTTTTTAAAAAGACCATCTAGACACATGACATCTTAAGTGAAAGGCAAGATGATTCATTAAACAAGAAGAGAAATAACGATGGCCTAAGTGATGCAGCAAGAAAAAGTCAAAGCTATGCTCACAGAGAAGGGATAGTGAAAATTCAACCTACGCTCAAAGAACAAAACGATAGGCTAAGGTGTCAGGCATCATACTACTTCTTTATGGTGGACAACCTGATGGCTGCACAAGGAAATTTAGCCTAGACTGCAGTTCTTATAAAATTCAACTTCTGCATTTTAAAAACAGTAACACTTCTAAATCTCAGTATAAACCTCCCTGAAAGGACTAGTTCCCTGGATGTCTGCAACACAAACGTTTTCTTGGTGTATAAGGGTCCACAAATGAAAAATAACTAGAAACTGACTTTCCCCCCCCCCCCCTTTTTTTTGAGGGAAGAAATAAATCTAAAATGCAGTCAGACACAAAGCCAGTTGCGCAGTCGATTTCTGCACGACGAAGGTAAACTGAACAAACGCAGCAGCTCTGTGAGCACGCGAAGCGCGAGAGTGCCGGTGGAGGACAGCGTCCTGCCCTTCCCAACCGCTCGCTCCCATGCCGAGCCTCCCCTCTGCCACCGCCTGGCTCGCCCGC